TTCAGGTTAGGATTTCGTTCGAGGGAAGGTTGGATGAGTTAAAGTTAGATTAGGTTATGTTTCGTTAGTTTAGGTTAGATTAGGTTAGGTTTAGTTAGTTTAGGTTAGGTTAGATTCGGGGTCCGGGTATCAGTGAATTGCTGTCTCACCCCTTACTACCCTGCAGCCTGTCCACCTTCACCTTGTCAACCACCTCCGCAACAAGGCCTTCATCCCTGTTAGATCTTTTATCTAAATATTATGTACTCAAATATTTTTGTTTAAGTCTTTAGTTCTCTGACATGTACAGTACAGTAGATCTATAGTTATCTACAGCCTGTTGTACAACTGTGTTGTTCAGCAGTTTAATTTAGTGCAGTTCTGTTGTTGTACCTTTGTAATTCTTTGTCATTCAGCGATGTAAATTCGAGGGTGTGAGTGGCTTAAAGGTGTCAGGGACACAACACACAGACACTGGAGTCTGGGTACACTGTGGGCACCACCTGGCGGCCACTGCAACACTCACTAGTACCCCAGGGCGTTATGACGGCTCAGGGCCCACACTCGTGTACAGATCATCAAGGTGACCTACAACTTTCACTGCCTCTAATGCTTCTCCCTCTCTCTCGCCACTAAGAGGAGCAGCCTACACACTCACGATCCTCTCTGGTGCACCACCACCTTATGAACTGTTCATTAATGACAAATGACTATGACAGCCGCTGTAAATAGTTGAAAGCTTTAAGATAAGGTAAAAAAGAGACACAAACAGACAGCTGGCAGGGTGCCAACTCCAATCCGACTGACTGTACAGATGACACTACCACTATCATGTGTCTGGTGACACTACCACCATCATGTGTCTGGTGACACTACCACTATCATGTGTCTGGTGACACTACCACTATCATGTGTCTGGTGACACTACCACTATCATGTGTCTGGTGACACTACCACTATCATGTGTCTGGTGACACTGTTATCTATACTGTACTAGTGTACCGGTAAAGGAAGGTGTTCGTTTGTTCCTGTACATGTGATAGTGAGTGTGTGTGTGTGTGTGAACCTTTTATCTGGCGGAACAGGTGATGTGCTCTCGTCGTGGTTAAAACAGTTCAGATTTTATGGGGTGCAGGTGAGGTGTCCCAGGATACAGTAATAGTCCTGTGTAGTATTTTCAGCGGCGTGGCGGTACACTCACTACACCCTCGGTTATGTAACGTCCGTTGTGTTCCCTCTGAGAGAAGACCGTACAGTGCGGAGACATGTGTGTGTGTGTGAGTAGAGGCGATAGTTACGCAAGAAACATGAGCATTACCACACCACCACCACCACCACTCCCGAGAATCATATACAACAATACTCTTCCCGTCATTACATGTGAATCAAACACACCAAGCTACTACCCGCTGTTTCTTGACATTAGTTCTTAACCCCTTCATTACGGGGACGCCACTTTTAATATGGGTTAGAGGCGTACACAAGGGGTTAATATGTATGATAAGAGACAACGCCAACTGCAGGTATAGGAACTGACTGACAAACATTGTGTTCAGTGGTGATTATTAGTGCCCCTTATTAATTATTTCATCCTTAATTCACATATCGCTGAATCTATTACTACATACATACAGGTTTATACACACACACACACACACACACACACACACACACACACACACACACACACTGAAGTGTCAAAATACAAAATAATAAAAATACCGCAACCTGACGAGTCGCGATAAGTCACACATACCCAGACGGACCCCTGGGATGTAAGGGGGAGAAGGAAGTAAGAGGAAGAAGAGGGAAGTAAGGGGGAGAAGAGAGAAATAAGGGGGAGGACTCTGCAAAACTACAGGAAGATCTAAAAAAATTCGAATGGTCTGAAAAATGGCAGATGAAGTTTAACGTGGACAACTGTAAAGTACTTAGCCTAGGAGATGTAAACAGTGAAACCAGATATCAGATGAATAATGTTGATATAGAGAAATCCGATTGTGAGAAAGATTTAGGAGTAATAATAAGTAGGAATCTTAAGCCAAGTAAACAATATGTATTTGCTCGACACAAGGCAAACAAAGTACTTGGGTTCATACAAAGGAGTGTTAGTTACAAGACTAACGAGGTTATCCTAAAACTACATCTTGCACTTGGATGACGCAGTTCAATTCTGGTCTCCGTATTACAGAATGGATATAGAATCCCTAGAAAGAATTCAGATGAGAATGACAAGACTAATCCCGGGCATTAGGAACCTTGAGTAGAGAGACAGGTTAAAGCATCTTAATTTGCACTCCCTCGAGAGACTTACGCCTGGAGTTTTAAACATCCCGTCAAGTACTGTACTGCGGTGTCCTTCAGGACTCTTTTTTTTTTTTTACTTGGGTTGAAACACGGCGACCCTCTTCAACGGAAGAGGGTGTTTAAAACTCCGGGCGGTAGAGTGAGGGGCGATATGATCGAGGCGTATAAACGGAAGTCAGGGCTAAACAAAGGTGATATATTACAGAGGTACTCAAACTATCCAACCAGGAGCGAACTCGTAGCAATGGTTTTAAATTAGACAAATTTAGATTTGGGCGCGAAATAGGTAAACACTGATTTGAAAATAGAGTAGTGGATGAGTGGAACAAGTTACCAAACATCATTAACTCGAATAGGTAGGGTAGCTTCAAACATAGGTTGGACATATATGAGCAATAGGGGTTGGGTGTAAACGGAACTGCCCAGTATGGGCCAACAGGCCCGCTGCGGATGAGAAAGGAAGAGGAAAGGCAAGGAGAGAAGGAGAATAAAGGAAGGGGGAAGGGGGGAAAGAATGAAGGCGGCGAGGAAAAAGAAAGAAAGATATGGAAGAAGAAAAGAGGGAAGGGGGAGAAGGCAGAGGAGAGATAAGGAAGGAGGGATAAAGAAAATTAGGAGATGGAAGTTAGATAAAAAAAGATGAATGTACGGGGGGCGAAATAAAGGAGTGGGAAAAAGGAGGAGGGACATGAGAAAGAAGAAAGAAGGAAGGATGAAGAAAACGAGAGGGAAGGAGAGACCGAGATAAACAAAGGAGAGGAAGGAGAAAAAGAGAAGATGGAGGAAGGAAGGAGGAAGAAGAGACGGAAGGAGAGAGGAAGGGAAGGAAGAAAAAGATGGAAGGAGGAGGTAGAAGAGGGAAGGAGACAGAGTAAGACAAACCGTTATTTTAGATATATATTTTTTTCACAATTCACCGTCGGGGTGTTACAGTGTTACGTCACCATCCCTTCAAGTGTTACAGTGTTACGTCACCATCCCTTCAAGTGTTACAGTGTTACGTCACCATCCCTCCAGGTGTTACAGTGTTACGTCACCATCCCTCCAGGTGTTACAGTGTTAGGTCACCATCCCTCCAGGTGTTATAGTGTTAGGTCACCATCTCTCTGGGTGCTACAGTGTTACGTCACCATCCCTCCAGGTGTTATAGTGTTAGGTCACCATCTCTCTGGGTGCTACAGTGTTACGTCACCATCCCTCCAGGTGTTATAGTGTTACGTCACCATCCCTCCAGGTGTTACAGTGTTACGTCACCATCCCTCCAGGTGTTATAGTGTTAGGTCACCATCCCTTCAGGTGCTACAGTATTACGTCATTATTCAGGCAGCCATACCTGCAATGCTGCCCACGTCAATATGAGTGAAGGCGACCAGGCACTATCACAGAGCGGCTCTTCCCGTTCTGAGTGTGGGCGGCCAATACTGTGAAGCCGCCCATGCCATAGTGGTGTGGGCGGCCAATACTGTGAAGCCGTCCATGCCATAGAAGTGTGGGCGGCCTATACTGTAAAGCCACCCATACCATAGTGGTGTGGGCGGCCAATACTGTAAAGCCGCCCATGCCACAGAAGTGTGGGCGGCCTATACTGTAAAGCCACCCATGTCAAAGAGGTGTGGGCGGCCAATACTGTAAAGCCGTCCATGCCATAGAAGTGTGGGCGGCCAATACTGTAAAGCCGCCCATACCATAGAAGTGCTAACCAAACCTAACCAAACCTAACCAAACCTAACCTAACAAACAAGTGCTAATCATTGGGGTCGATGACGTCACATAAACAGATCACACTACCCCACCTAACAATACATTCTAAGATCATTTGGTTGGAAATTGGTTGGTTTTTTGTCGTATGTTATTTATATGTGATTATATTTTTTTAGAAACACGTCAAAATGCTTCATCAGTCACTTAGTAACAGAGAGTGTATGTGTGTCAAGTTGTGGACGGAATACAATATAACTCTTTTCTAATTTAAGCTGGGGTGCTCCAAGGCCATATTCTACCTCCTATTATCTTTGTATATACACCATCTTCTCAGCCACCTCACGTACGTACACGCTCGCCTCACACACTGCATCACATCACCGTCTCCAGAACAATCTCTTCTCTCGTTATACCCATCACGTCTCCCGCCTGTCTCCTCTGCATGCATACACACACTGCCTATAATCATCACTTTCACTATCATCTCTGATTTAGCTACAAAACTCGAGGGGTGAAAGTGTTCTTAATATGTACTTCTAAATCCAGAGAAATTACACTTTTTCCTCAACCAAGAGAATTTTCATATTACCAGTGTAAGGTGTGGGGAGGATGTTAGCTTCTGTAGCCTTCTCGGGGATTAACACATTTTTTAGCTTAATTAAATAACTGTCTTTACTCTCTTTCTCTCCTAAAAAGTAATTATTTAGATATGCTGAACTGGTCTTTCCTGTAAGTTATGCTCTTATGTTCTGTATGAGGTGGAGAGAAGTTGAATAATAATAATAATAATAATAATAATAATAATAATAATAATATGTGACGATGATGATAATAATGATAACAACAACAACAATAATAATAATAATAATAATAAAAATAATAATAATAATAATAATAATAATAATAATAATAATAATAATAGAAGAACACAGATAACAAGAATAAGAAAATAATTATAAGATTAATAACAATAAATAAACACATAAAAACTAACACGTTGCCAAAATAATCACCATCTTTCTGCACAGCCGTAGATAAAGTTCGGTCAACTCGGTGACATGCGGGCGCCATGTTGTTACTCAGCTGATGAAGAAGTTTCGTTCGTACTGTAGAGGATGATGATAATGATGATGTTTATTCATTAAAATTGTCAAACATGATTACAATTGGATAAGAATGTTTATAAACTATGTGGGAAACAGCCCGAGAAGACTTCCCACCCGCTGAGTAACAACATGTCATATAACTCCTTTTATGGGGAAAAATATTAACTTATATACTGCACTATAAACAATTACAGTATATTATAAAAATAATTAATATTCATACAGAAATAATAGCACTTAAATAAACAATGTGTAAAGCTATTCATTATACAAGCATCAGACACATCAACAACAATTTTGACATGGCTCACTACCTTTCGTGATGAACTAAATAGTACTTCTATTTAACTCACGAATCCTGACAAAAAAGGTGACGACGAACAATAGAAGTGATTACCTCCATAAGAAAGAAAATAAACTTAACAATATCTGATGACACTACAGTATACTACGTTTCCTTTACCAGGTTTAGGGTCTTTACTACAGGATGGCATTTGAAGATTTTATAAAGTCAATACAGATCACAAGCATTTAAATAAGCTTTGCAATGAAAACGGAAACAACAGTTAATTTTACGCCATTATACTCAAGCTTTAAGTGAGAATAACTACTCATCCTTGTTCATATTACACAATTCTTCATATACCATCTATAAATCAACAGCGGGAACAGCTCATATTAATATTTTTTTCACAACATTAATAATAATAGTTCAATACTGTACAGTTATACCTTACTGTATTCTCTTATTTCTTTTGTGGGTAATTTCAATCTAACCTAACCTAACCTTCCTTAAATTTGACTAGAAGTTTTGGTATTAGTTGACCGAGTAGTTCAAGTCTCATATTTCTCTCAAACGCACTACGTTCAAAATGCACACTACAGTACACGTGGAGCTCTGTAAACTTCCAATGCCTACTGAGCTGGATCAGGGGGCGTGTGACATCATGCGCGCGAGTGGTGGCGTTTTCTTCCACTAGTAAGCAGACCTGGGTTTCAGGGTTCGGATCCTGAAAGGTTCCTAGTCTGAATTTTGCCCGTAGGGGAGATGTATGAACACATAGAATTAGTCAAATAAAGCGTAACACAAAAATCACTTCCAAAATGGCATTAGAATTACACCAACTTCCATAGCTGCGTTTAATAAGGAACAAAATTCTTGTAACGGTGCAAATCTGACGCATATCAGCTCAGGGGCAGATCCAGGAATATGAAAAGGGGGAGGGGGTTCAAAAAGTTGTGGGTGGGGGGTACATGGCCCCACCACCCCCTGAATTTTTTTTAAATCTGACCAATATCATGGGCATTATGAGGCAATTTTGAGGTCATGTGCACTTGATATTAAGAGATATTCTGAGATCATTAGTAATTATTTTTTACTATACAAAACCGTCTGAGTACAATACTGCATTAAAGAAAAGTATTGGAATTTTCTGATGAAAAGGAGGGGATCTTGACCCCCAGGACCCCTCCTGCAACTGCGACACCATTGATAAAATGTCCACAAGTAATGATCACTACGCCACTGACAATAATAAATACATGAAGAAAATATATAAACTAATAAGTAATGAAATATAAATGATTTAAATAAATAAAATTATAAGAAGAAAACAACACCAGAGGGAAATATTATGTGATGACAAAGTAGAAGTAAATAAACAAATAAAATTAGGAGGTAACATGCAGTAGCTAAGCCACACACACACACACACACACACACACACACACACACACACACACACACTCTTCCTCATATCCTTCACCCACACATTCAAAGTATTAACAAACAATGAATCCTTAATTTCTAGATTGGTTATATTTTCATCATGTTTCATACCAACTCCCAGTACATACCAAGTACAGTAGTTGTGGTCATTCATTCCAACACCACCGCTCTTGAGACGACTCCACCAGACACCGTTCACAATCCTTCGTCTGGCAGTATGTACCTCGAATCCCTTTGACCTCACTTGTTCACCCAGATAGCTGCTCACATTTCTTTCCTTGTCTTCCTAGAGTTTCCGTGCCTGTCATGTGCTCCCATGTCCATACCACTTTAATGTGCTCTCATCAATTCAGTTCTCGAAAGACATTCAACCCCAACTTTCAACATACATCTTCCTTCCCCCTCGTGTTCATCTTCCAAGGTTTCAAGATATTTCACAGACTGTCAACCTTCTCTGACAAGCCACAGGGACCTAAGTTAATGTAGTCTCCTTATACTCTGTAAACCCACTCCTTCCCGCCAATAATGTTCCCAGGGTTATAAATGTTCTTCTTCCTTCAGTATTCTTGTAAGTTGTAATGAGTTCGTTTTTCCTTTTTCATATTTGATACATAGTGATCATGCAGGTACTGTATTCCCCCTTCATAATGACAATACTGTAAGAATATCCTTCGCTGTCTGACACTATAAATTCACTGTTGAATGTTTTTATCACATTCTTCGACAAACACCATCATAAAATACAACCTTTCCTTTTAACTCTCACCCAGATATAGCTAACAGCACATTTATGTTAGGCGTGACAACTACTAACCATGTCTCAGTTGCGTCAAGCAGGTTACTTCATTCTTTCTTCCTCTTCTTGTACTGCTCCCTCCAGTCAGACAGATAACACTTACACGCACGATGCAAGAATGTGTTTCAGATAAGATAAACCGGGTGACGAGTAGGCGGCATACAGGCGGGAAAGGAATACCTCAAACACTTGGTTCCAACAATGACCACCAGGTGAAAACATCATGCCCAGTTGCCCACCATCCCAAGGCAAGCTCGCCGCACCACTCACAGGGAGATGTGTATCACGTTTAAAAGAAAATCAGTTGAGATTGGACCAACATATCGCTAGGAAATGGAACCAGAAGAAACGAAAATCGCTTACAATAGATTTCGTTCATGTTAGAAATATCACGTTGGCTATGACGCCACTGTGGGTGTTTATATTGGAAGCGAATCAGTTGAGGCGTTTATGAGATTGAAAATAAACATAAAACACAAAAGGGAAACCAAAATCCATTCCGCTAACTGGGAACATACAATATAATAATAATAATAATAATAATAATAATAATAATAATAATAATAATAATAGTAGTAATAATAATAATAATAATAATAATAATAATAATAGTAATAATAATAATAATAATAGTAATAATAATAATATTAATAATAGTAGTAATAATAATAATAATAATAATAATAATAATAATAATAATAATAATAATAATAATAATAATAATAGTAGTAGTAATAATAATAATAATAATAATAATAATAATAATAATAATAATAATAGTAATAATAATAATAATAATAATAGTAATAATAATAATATTAATAATAGTAGTAATAATAATAATAATAATAATAATAAATAATAATAATAATAACTAATAATAATAATAATAATAATAATAATAATAATAATAGCTGATGTTAATGAAAACATCAACAGGAGGGGTACAGGAGGGTGACACAGGTACAGGAGGGGAGACACAGGTACAGAGGGGTGACACAGGTACAGGGGGAGGTACAGGAGGGGACAGGTACACAGGTACAGGAGGGGGTGACACAGGTACAGGAGGGGAGACACAGGTACAGGAGGGGTGACACAGGTACATGAGGGGGGTGACAGGTACAGGAGGGGAGACACAGGTACAGGAGGGGGAGACACAGGTACATGAGGGGGTGACACAGGTACAGGAGGGGCACAGGTGGGAGGGGGAGACACAGGCAGGTACAGGAGGGGAGACGCAGGTACAGGATGAGACACAGGTACAGGTACAGGAGGGGAGACACAGGTACAGGAGGGGTGACACAGGTACAGGAGGGGAGACACAGGTACAGGAGGGGTGACACAGGTACAGGAGGGGAGACACAGGTACAGGAGGGGAGCCACAAGCACAAGAGACAGAGAGAGAGCAGCTGGCAGGGGGCCACACAAGCACCCGGGATAATAACATTCCTGGCAGGGCCGTCACCCTCACCACCGGGTTCAGCACTGTTTACCACATCACCGACAATTATATACAAAAACAGATTATTTGACCGGAATGTTGGTAGAGTTGTGTGTCCCTCCCTTGTTGGTTCACGATCTCTGTCACTATGAGCTTCCAATGTGCGATTAATCCTCTCCAGATATTATGCTAACTTCAAATGACAGTCACAGCGACACCGAAACTCCTTGAATTCTTAAAACTTGTCTCTTGTAAGAAATAAACATCTAGTGGACGGTGATCGTTAACCTTACTATTAAAACTAATACAATTTTGACCTATAATAATGACAGATAATTTTCGTAATAATTTTCTTGACAGGTCAGGCAGGTTACATATTGCTGCCGAAAAAGTTAAAATTGAAAGCGTCATGCTTCCAAACGGCTTTACATCAGAGATGAAGTTGTCAAGTCACTTAGTTGGGGTATCCTTGGTATATCCTTGAAGCATCTTCCTTTTGTTCATAATATTATAACACTATACTGACACTAAACCCGACAAACACGAATACAAGACCTGAATGGATCGAGCAAATTAGAATCATTGACAATTAAGTGGACCATAACTAAAGTTTAACCGCCTCACAATTTCCCAGCCAACACGAGTTACTAAATGCACACATATTATACTGTAGGTCGGATGGTATCGTAACACATGTGGAAATTAGAGAAGTAAAATCAAAAGACGAGTCACAGAAGCCAGATGTCGCTTTAGAAAACTATACAGTAGATATTCAAAAGCAACAAATCCTCTGCCAAAAAAAAAAAAATAGTGTTCGACCAGTGCAGCGACCAGTACAGTATTGGCAGACCGACGGATGCAATACAAGGCGGATGACTACAAAAAATAATAATAGTAAAACATAAATACATAAATAAAAAAATAAATCTCCAAACTCCTGAAAGAAGCAAGGTAAGGCGTATATCCTTGTGTTAACACGTGGAGGCAGTGTGAGACAAAGAATGGGTGAGGTTTCTGAACATAAGCACAGGATC